GCGGGGGAAAATGGGCGCTGTCCGAGCTCGCCGTGCATTTAAAAAAGGAGCCACTCCGGCGCGAGCGCCCTCGGCCGAGTCTGCCGGACGCTCGGCGGTCGCGTGAACCGACGGCGAGCCCGCCGAGGCTTTGGAGGCAGCGCCGGGGTCACGCCGCCGCAATTGAGAGAGAGCACCGTTCCAAATCTTCCGGCACCGACTCGTGAGGCGAGGTCCCGGTGTCACCGAGGGTCCGGGGCGCCCCTCCGGAGGAGCCGCCTTCAAGCATTCGACGGTCTGAAACGCTATCAAGCGGAAACAGCCGCATCCCCCGCGGGCGCTCCGCCCTCGCCGTCGCATCCCAGCCCAGAGATAAGCAGCGCTACCTGAAGTCGGGGCCGAGGCGGCGCTTGAGCCAAGAGCCGTTGGCCTCGGCTCAAGCGCCGCCCCGGTCGGTGTGCGAGCGTGACCCCGCCAAAGCCCAGAATAGCCCCGGACGGAGGCTTCCCGCCGTGGCTTTTTTCGGGACAAAGCCCGCACTGTGCCAGCGCCGGCGGACACTCGAGACAGCAATTAGGGCCTAATTAGGGGGGATGAGCGGCGCTTAGCGAGGCTTAAGGCCGAATCGGGTCGGGCGCATCTCGGTGGCTCGCTGCAGGCGAGCGGCAGCAGCGAAAGTTCACGACTCGACTTCTGCCCACTTGAACCTCCCAACGCATGCAAACAACGGCCACGGCATTTCGGATTTGCTTTTGTCCGTTTTCCCTCATTCAGCGACGTGAAGCCGAATCCAAAATATCGGCGCCCTTATTTTGAAATGTTGAAAGATTGGCGTGGGAATATGTCCGCATCGATTGTTTTCAAGACTGACTGGGGCGGTCCCGACCTGTGCGAGGGCAGCGCGGGACGGGTTCCCGCCGGGTGACGGCGCGAATGCTCGTCGGTCTCCGCGTGTGCCCCGCCACCGCTTTCGGCGTGCGGTCGGCCTTTGGCTCCGCCGAGTCAGCTGGGACCGCCTCCGGCTCGCTGTCGGCGTTCTCGCGTCGTCCTTGCAGCCGATTTCAGCTGCCGTGGCTTGAAAAGGCGGCGCCTGGACCGGTGAGCCACGCGGGTGTCAGCGAATGAAAGGATAGAAGAGATGATTTGGAGAAAAAAGCCAATAGTCGTTTTTTCCCCCCCGAGGTCGAGTTGCCGCCGAGCCGGGCGGCGACACGAACGAACGCGTCGAGATCCATTTTCGGAACCCTCAAAGACTCGAAACAACACGACGTAGCGGCGACGCACGCCAGCCTCCGTCTGTGCGCGGCTACAATTTCCGCCTTGTTTATAGCCGGCGCTGCGGCTCCCCAATTTGGACTCGGCTATTCGCTTTGATGGAGCTCAACAATTCCCGAGGTGGTGCCAGAGCCGCGGGGGCAATCTTCCTGGCGAGCGGCTGTGCCCCCGTTCAGTCGGGGTTAAGCCTTGGACACGCTCCGCTGACTCCTAATAGCCGAACAAATCGCCCCCCTCAATAGTGATACTGTACTGGTTGCCCGGGAGGGTCTTACCGGACTCCGCTGAATCAACAACCGCGATCCGCGCGGCAGCGCGCTCCCGTTTGTGGAATTAGCGTCCGCTCGAGGAGAGCCCGCGTGACGGCGGGCGCTTCCTGGGTGGCTTTGCCAGGATCGCAGTCAGCCACCATACGAGGGGGGGGGCATCTAAAGTTGTGCCCCAAATTACAAGGACCATCAAAGGCTGCCCCCCCCCCACCCTTGACCCACGCTTGGGCCCCAACAGGCTTGCAAGAGTTTGCGGGTTTTTAGATTTTTTTTTTTATAAGTTGTTTTCCATTTTTTCCAAACGGCTTGAATTTACTTCTTTTTTCTTCTTATTTTTGAGGATTAGTTTGAGTTTTAGTTTAATATTGTGCAAAATTTTAAAAAAATGAAGTCAAGTGGACTTCTCAAGAGGCAGTTTGACCTTCCTTCCTTTTATGCGAACTTGGAGAAGAAACAAATCCATTTCAAATGTACTCTGAAAGCGCCTGTCTGATGTGCACCGACAAATACGCAAAACGAAGGACACTTTCTGACTGATTATCGATGGTTTCATTTGGTTTTATAAAGCTGAGGTGGCTTGATGTCGTTTTTTGATTGGAGTTTGAGCTACTTTGTGAGCTTTCGTTCACCTCGGCCCCCCCACGCGAACGTCGCAATCGTAAAGTCGGCGACAGATTGAACACAAAGCGTGCGGCAGCACCTCATCTATTCTTTATCCTCTGCGAAAAACGGCTCGATTTGAGCGCCGTACCAAAGTGAGGCACCTCCCTGAACGGCAGATGCCTCGGCCTCTCTCCTGCCCCCATGTGGCCAAGGCGGGGACTCCAGAAAGAGCAGCGCGGCCATCCACAACGCGGCTTTTTCCCCATTTGAAAATCGGCCCATCGATCGGGACGTCAACGTATTTTCAGATGGCGCCGGCAAGCGCCTCGTGTTGACCGTGCGGCGCTGCGGCCTTCGAAGCGCGCCCTCGCATCCACGGCCCCCCCCCCGAGCGGGCGGCGCCTGATGATTTCAAACTTGAATCCAAAGCTGCCATTTCACGTGCGGCGCAGCACGACGGGCCAGCGGAAAGGGCGGCTCGCCAAATCCTGCCGGGCTTTGAAAAGAGCCTCTCACAGCAGCGAGCGCACCCGGGGGCGTGTCCGCGGGCAGAGCGGCGCGGCATCTCTTGGCCGCGGGCCCCGGCGGGCTCACAGTCCGCAAGCTGTGAATTTTTCAAGTCGGGAACAAGTTCTTCAGTGTACCGACGGCTGCGCCGCACATACCAGGGGCCGGCCGGCTATTAGCGGCGGCAATGCCGACAGTGTTCGCCGTGTGCGGCGAGACCGATTGCCGCCGCAGGTTTCGGCCGCCGTGGGCCGTGACCTTTTTTCGCTCCTCGACGAGCCGCCGCCGTCATCATAGATGGTTCTTGCCGCTTTGTTTGATTTGGGGGTTTTTTTTGACGCCCGCCCTGTCGAAGACGTCTGTGTCAGCAGCAGACACAAAACTGAGGGGGTGGAGCATGGCCAGTCGCCGGTTTCGCCCATCGCCACAAAATTTGGTGAACGGAACGAGACGCCTTGTGCAAAATTGAACAGCGTTGTCAGCCGTTTGGGGCGAAATGAAATGAAAAAGGGCAGCTGTAACTGAGAAAAAGAAAATAGCTCCCATCACGACATTTGGTGGAGCTGTCCATGATAACAAGACGCAGGAAAAAGTCTCAAGGAGCCATTCCCAAACTTGAACAGGAAGGCAGAGTGCCATGAAAAAGGCTCGGAAAAAAGCTCATCCCAATCGACACGTCAACCACAAGAAATGTGAAAAAAGTCTCGAAGACCCGAACCTGAAAGTGAAAAGTTTGGATGTGCCACTTGAGATCCATTTCGTGCATTGTGCTCGCTGTCAGCGATTTGACCAGGTCGGCGCCATGCGTCTCCACACGCAGCCCCAAGACGTGTTCAAAGCTCGCCCCGATGCCGCCTGCGCATCAACACCATCGCGTTGAGACAAAGAGGCCGCGCTCGGGCGCTTCGCCGTCGCTAATCGGCCACTTTACGTAACAGAACAACGGGGGCACCTTGAACTCCTGGGATCTCGTTTGCCCGGATTGCGTCACCGAGCTCGAGAGGCGAGGCGAGGAGCGGAAGGTCAAACAGGTGACGACGAAGTGGCCGCCCTCCGCGCCGTCGCTCCGACAGCTGTGTTTACACAGCGGGCCGATACACGCCGATTGTGGAATGTGAGCGTTTGGCCCGCTTGTGAGCACTTCAGGCACCATAAAGACGCACCGAGCCCAAAGTCGGCTGAAGCTTCTTCTTAGGCATCAGTGTGTGTGCGCATACTGCAAGGTATGCACCTGCAAACAGTTGTGGGGTTCCCCCCCCCCATATATAGATATAGAAATACGGTATATATTTTTTTCCCTCTCTCTCCATATGGCACAGTCTTAGCTGTCTGATATTAAACCATTTTGGTTGACGTCTATTTATTTTTACAAATGCAAACAAATGAGGACTGGTGCTCAAGCGCCACCGAGTCTATCTGCGCCTGCAACTCTCCATGAGAGCAACTACACGCTGTTTTGTTCAGAAAGAGAGGCAAAAAAACGGAAGGGAAAAAATGGGTCTTGAACATGATGGCCTCCTCCGACGTAAACAAGTTGAAAATAACAACAGAGCGTTCCCAAAATTCTCCCAGATGACAGAAACCACACGCAGGCGCGCGCACGCACACATGCTTCTACTCTCCCTCCAGAAATCTGCGATGCGGCTTTCCTGGCCTGGACATTAAAAAGAAGAAAAAAAACTCGAGCTCAAAGTAAAGCACGCACGCTTCTAATGGTCCCCGCAGCCGCTGTCTGCCACGTTTGCCTCCAGGTGCACGCCCGCGCGCGCGTGTGTGTGTGTGTGTGTGTGTGTGTGTGTGTGTGTGTGTGTGTGTGTGTGTGTGTGTGTGTGTGTGTGTGTGCGTGTGTGTTGCGTGTGCGCGTCGTACTGACTTTTGCACTGCAGGTCCACCATGGCCTGGTACCAGTCGTCCTGGTCGGCTTCGTTGTCGGCGGCGACGGCGAAGCTCTCGGCCCGCGTGTACAGCACGATCATGTGCTTGTTCTTGGAGTCGGCCCGCTTGTTGATGTTGAAGCAGGTCTCCAGCAGCACGGCCTTCTTCGGGACGGGGGCCTTGCCGCGGAATTTCTTCTCGCTCTCGTAGTACTCCAGGCGGGCCGCGCCGCGCTCCGTGCCCGAGCGCAGCACGAAGTAGCGCCGGTGCATGGACTTGTGCTTGCGGAGGTAGCCGCTCTTGCGGACGTCCTCGCCGCGCTCCGCCGCCTGGCCGTCCATCGCGTCGCCCGCCACCAGCGCCCCCCGGCCGGGCGACGCGTCGTGTCCTCGCGGCGAGTTGGCGGAGCTCATTCAAACATCTCTCGGCTCCCCCCGCTCGGCCATGTGAGGTGGAGTGAGCCTCGGCCACCTCAACGGCCCCCTCCCCCGCGCCGCCTTCGACGGGAGTCTTGTTTACGTCCCAAGGTTCTCCTCCTCGCGCTTTGCGCTCCTCTATGACTTACTACGAGCGCAAGTTGAAGGCATGTCGAGAGGGTGTCCGCGCCGCCTCCGCTTCGGTTCGGTTCCGCGTCCGCGGTGGTCCACTGCAGCGGCAGCGGCACTGTCACTCCACTCGACCCAACTCGACTCAACTCGCCCCGACTCAACTCGAGACTACGAGACGCGATGTCCTCGTGGTATTCTGGAACGCGTTGCGTTCACTGACCTCGGCGTGAGCTGGGCGAACGCGCCACTCGGCCGCGTCGTCGCCGTTTCAACGATTCAATTGAGTAAATCAACATTTCCACTGCTAATGACATAAAACAACCGCTTTGATCGTTTTCCACTGTGGGGGGTAGCTTTCGTGTTTTGGTTTCTTTCATTTTGTCGCAGGTGACTTGTTTTTGTCAGACGGAGTTAAAGACCTCATAAAAATACTCAAGTGAAGTAGTCGAGAATTTGATCCGAGTCGGGAAATACTTGACTACTTTCCACCGCTCTCACTCGAAACAACACGTACAGTACTCGAGGTAGCGCGGTGCGTTTACGGACCTCAAGCGTGGAGCTGCCGTTGAGCGACTGAAAAAGTTGTACAGTACTGTAAAGCAAAGTCCAAGTAGCGACGCTTGTATTTTAAAAGACTGGCAAAAGTTGTATTTAAGCAATGCTAAAAAAAAGTACACTGTCTGAAAGTACTTTGTTTTTGATGACTTGTTGAAACAAAACAAATTTGGTGTCCGCAGGAGAAATTCTTTGCCAAACAGGGATTTCCATATTCTGTTTTTTTTTTCCTTCTCGTGGAACACGCTTGTTGTCATTTTACCAGCGTTTCTGAAAATTCACCGCCCCTGCCCCAATGCATCACGTTTCCGCGCAGATTTTGGCAACTCCTGGGTGACCCGGCCCCCAATGCCCGCGAATAAAGGGGGTCCACTGTATTGCGCAGTTGGGAGCACGGTACAAAGCAAGCAAAGCATCCCATAATTCCGGCGGCCTTCCTAAAATAGGAGCACTATTCCTAAAGCAGGCTGCATGTTATGCAACGCGCATCCCAAAGTAACCTCCAGGCCTTGAAAGAAAACGGCCAATGGGCGCCCCCTGGTGGAGAAATCCACAAGAAGGCACTTGGCGTCAAAGGGCTTTATTTACTGGACAACAACCCAGCAGTCAAGCATCAAACGGATGACTATTTTTGTTTTGAATACTTGCCATGACAAAGACGCGCCTCCATAAATCCTTAAGGAACCCCCCGGCCCCATGTTAAAAAAAAAAAAAAAAAAAGAGAAAATTGGTCCAGTATAAATAAGAAGTACTATCATTTTTTTTTATAAATTATTCTGTAAGTGCTTTTTTTGGGTATTTTTACATTCAGTAGCTTTTTTTTTTTTTTTTAGCCCTCAAAGCTCATGCAGCCTGGCAGTGGTTAACGTCCTAGAAACAGCTTAGATAAGGGAAAATGATCAGAAGACCCTTCAAAAACTTCAAACCAACATTTGGGGTGACTTTTCCTTTTCAAAACAGAAAACAATTTGTATTCTGAAGCAGCGGGGGATCAAAGCAAAGGAGCAGTGCTTTGCGTGTATATTTCTACCCCCGCCAAAATGCTAGAGGCGCTAAAATAGAAATCGCTAGTTGAAGTCATAATACATTCAGGCATTTTTTTTTAACACATGGCCCCAAGTGAACACACCCAGATAAGAGGACATTGGGAGGGGGAGGAGGAAAAGACTCAAGGAGGTGTCGAAACGGCAGCGGCGACGACGACGACAGTCCACTTTTCCCAGAGATGGACAGGTGAGGGGCATCACCGAGGGCTGAGTCAGATGAAAGGGTTTCGCGACGTGGCCCGACTAGGGTAGACGTTGCCCTGGAAGAGAGTGAGAAGTCATTACGGAAGTCGCTTGAAGGCCTCTGTCATTTGGCAGGGAAAAAAAAAAGGGACCACTCACAGTAAAAGGGTTCACCGACATGGGCCGAGGGACTTTGGCCTGCGAGTCGCACGCGGGGAAGGCGGCGAAGCCTGAAAACATTTGACGCATCGTGTAAGAAAGCTTACCGCCGTTTCTGGTGTATTCTTTATCCTCTGCAAGGAACGGCAATTTTGGGCAATCCGCTTTCGATGACACTGGTCAACACATTTTGATGGTATTTTTTCATCTGAGACTCAAGGCAACTTTCGTCAATGATTTTTTTTTTTGGAACTGATTTTGGAATCCGCCCCTGTTTTTTTTTTTCAAGCACATCAGCTTTTCATCTTCAATATAACAATAAAAATGTGTAATATCCATCCATTATCTGACCCGCTCAATCCTCACGAGGGACGTGGGCGCGCCGGAGCCGATCCCACACCCTGAACTGGTCGCCAGCCAATCACAGGGCGCACGTAGACAATTATTCACAATCACACCAAGGGACAATTTCGAGCGTTCCATGAACCTCCTGTGGGTATTTTTGGCATGTGAGAGGACAGCGAAATACCCGGGACAAAGCCACACGGGCAGGGGGAGAACACGCTAACCCCGCAAAGGACTGCCGCCGGGGCTGCCCTGCACGGTGAGGTGGAGCGCTGACCAGTCGACTAGCGTGCCACCCGTGCGTAATATATTTTGTGTAATATTTTCACAATCACACCCAGGGACAATTTCGAGCGTTCCATGAACCTCCCGTGGGTATTTTTGGCATGTGAGAGGACAGCGGAATACCCGGGAAAAAGCCACACGGGCAGGGGGAGAACACGCTAACCCCGCAAAGGACTGCCGCCGGGGCTGCCCTGCACGGTGAGGTGGAGCGCTGACCAGTCGACTAGCGTGCCACCCGTGCGTAATATATTTTGTGTAATATTTATGAATAAAGGGTGAGCTTCGGCAACAAATGGAATTTTTGCTTTAATTTGTATTTTATTTTCTGAAAAGTCCCAGTAAAATCCATATTGTGCAAGCTTTTATACTGGGAGATGAAACATGCCCCCCCCCCCAAAAAAAAAACGATGTGCTTGGAGGAAGGAAAAAAAAAGTCAAGACATTTTTGAAACCGGCATGGAATGTACAATTGGGGACACATCAAGCCCTCTCCGATTCATGTTGTGCAACATATGATGGATGAAAATGGCTCCATATGAGGGGTACAGCTTTTGTATTAAACCACGATTCATTGGCCTTCAAGACAAGCCAGAAGACAAATCCGATAATGTTTACTGTAGTAAATACAGCGTGAAAAAATATGAGCATCGTAAATGGCAATGGCAATATTTCGGCCAAATGGGAAGAAAACGGCGCGTTACCGTTAGCTTCCTGGTTAGCGACGGCGTCTTGGGGAAACGAGGCAGGAAGCGGAAACACCGAAGCGGGCGAGGTGGCAAACGGGCCGTCGCC